AATAGAAATTAATTCTTTTACAATGCATGACTGTAAAATTACAGTATTTAAATTTGCTAAAATATCAATATTTTATAGATATTTGCTGTTATCTTCACCATTTTTACAGGTTTTTTTTTTTTTTAGCATTATTCTAATTCATATATTTTTTGGTATGCTTGTGTCCAGATTTTCACCTTTCTACAGATGTTTTTTTCTTTTTTTACCATGTTGCCAAGAACAAGACCTTTTATGTGCAACCTGAGCTGTATCATTAACACAACGAGGGTCCCACAGTCTATGTGTATTAATGTTTATTTCTAGGCTTCATGTTTTCCTCCTCTAGATGTTTGTCCTTCTGCTGCTGACTGTCCTTCGGGTGGTTTAACATCATGTAGGAGGCGACGGACTCGGCAGCAGGTGGAGGTTCAGGTTAAAGCTTTTAGCTTTTTAGCTCCAGCAGCTCCAACAGGGTGAAGTAGGAGTAGATCCACGGCCTGGAGACGCTCTGAGTTTTCTGCAGACCTCCAGCCTCCAGCAGGAGGCCCCGTTTAAAGGCCAACTGCTGCTGCAACAGCGCCATCTGTCTGCAGGGAGACGCAGACAGACAGAGAGATGCTTTACGTGTTGAACCAGCTGATCCTGAGGAGGTCACCTGATGATTCGTTCTGTACCTGCTGATCAGCTCCTGCTGCAGCCGTCTCTCCTCTGCAGCCCTCCTGGCCTCCTCCTCTTCCTCCTCCTTCTTACGGAGATACTCGGTCCTCTCGTCTTCATCCATCTCCTGCAGCTTGTTGTTCTCCTGCTGCTGCCTCCTCTGCTCCTCCAGCCGCCGACGCTCCACTTCAGCTGGACGGGAAAAAAAACACATCCCAGTAAAACCAACTGGTGCAGCTGGAGCGTCTCTGCAGGAAGTCAGGAGTCTGCACGTCTACAGGTTTAGAACTTCACTGTTGAGCTCCACCAGAGGATGTTTTCCTGCTTTAATGTAAAGAAATAAAGTTTTTGTTTGTTTGATTTTTTTACATTTCAGTACATTCACAGGTTTATAACTTCATCGTTCTCCTGCTTTGATGTAGAAAACGTTATCTTAACGTTCTGTCCATCCGTCACCTCTCCTCCTCTGCTCCTCCTCCTCTCTCATCCTCTGCAGCCTCTCCATCCTTCTCCTCTTCTCCTCCTGCCTCCTCCTCTCACTCTCTCTCTGCTCCTTCTCCCTCTTTGCTCGCTGCTGCTCCTCCTCCTCCTCCTCCAGCCTCTTCGTCCTGTTTATTAGAACAAGATGAAGCGCGTTAAATGGACCAATGATGGAGCATTAAACTGTTGTTGTTTGTTTTCAGACCTGAGCTCCTCGGTT